AAATAACATTACTGTAAGCTACCACTTCTTATCTCTCTTTGTCGGGCTGCTGTTCTGCCCTTTTCATCATGGTAGTAGCCTCAATAATTTCACACAAATAAATATTGTCGCGTCATCCTGCTATGTCCTATGTATTCTAACCCTGTTTTAACATTTTGTGTCGCAGCGTAGGTAGCTTCCTACGCTATGTTACCTTAATATTCTCCTTGTTGTACTATGTTATATGTCGCGTCACTGATTGTCTGTCATCATTGTATATAGTGTTTCATTGGTATTTTTGTAAACCTACATTCTTAAACAACTATTGTCGCGCATATCAATTGTTTACCTGTCTATTCTGTATCTTACTGTATATACTGTACGTTTTTGTACCTTACTGTATTGTTTTTATTTTAATAAAGACCGATGCGAGGTGCTCATGGGGTCCCTTGACCCTTGGTTGACTATTTTCCTTCTTTCGTATCATACTTTAAATTCCCCTTCTCTCTAACCTCTTCACATTAAAACCTAATCTCTTCCTCCTCTTCAAGTCTAAAACAGGCTATACCTACGAGTTCGGCCTCGTTTTCTTTCTCAGCACTGTCTATAGAAACGGAGAGGGCGACGAGTCGCGACTGTGGTAAGCTGTGTGAACATCGGTTCCGTCTTTCGATCGACGCATCGGCGATCTGGTGAGTTAATCCGTAGATTGTTATACATCGTTCGCTTCGTCTAGTCACAAGCTATCGATTGATGTCAAATTTATCAAGATCCGACCATCCTATCAAGAATTATAGGACTTAGAACTTCTTGGAATTTGACCAACTTTCCCCGGCCCGCATTTGCCGGTAAGTGAAAATTGTATATACCATCGGATAGCGATATGTACGAGGTTTACGGCGGTGTTTTTGTTATTTTTCTAAGTCGAATAGTTTTCTTTTTATCACGATAGTTATGTTTCATCTTTCGGGCCACCGTGCGGGCTCCGCGGGCCGCTGACTACGATCATAACTGGGTGTTACTATCATAGGACTGATTACTAACTGCTCTGTAAATTTCACCTTAATATTCGCAATAGTTTATAAGATATAACGATTCTTATATTTAGTTTATACAAAGGGTCATAAGGTCATTGACCTCGCCACGTGGTCGGGTCAGATCCCCCAACTGACCCTAATTCGGAAGTTTTTCGGTCTTTTTTTTTGGATTCGTTACTCCTGTTACGTTGTGTAATATATTGATAGATTTGTAAAAATTTAGCGATTATTTTAGTATAGTATTTAGACATTATTTTTATATTATTTTTAGTCATTAAAATTATATAGTTATTTTTACTGTATAAAATTTGTACGGTATTTTTTATATTTTCTGTTAACATTATCTGTACTATTATGCTTAACCATGGATGATACCAAACTCCAAACGAGGGACACACGAACCCCAATTGTGTACATGGATGAGGAGGAGGACCAAACTACGGACCAAGAAATGGAACAAACCACAGAGGAAATAGAAACAACATTATTAATTGAGGCAAAAGATATGCTTAGCACGGTGATGGAATTGTGCCCTGAGCACACCAACACCAATGTGAAACAAAAAGAGCGATGTAAGATAAGGGAATGCGTGGCAAACATGTTTGGTTATCTACACGAGATGTTCGCCATAGTCAAGGAGACTAGAAGACAAATGGCAAGGGTAGAAAACAACAAATCTCAACAAGCACCACTACAAACTACTCAGAATACAACTTACAGCGACATACTAAAAAGAACCATCAAACCGAGTAACACAACTAGAAACATACAGAAATCCCTTGATCACAAATTGAATCAGGAAGGAACTGGAGGCTCACATGCCGTCCTAATTTATCCTAAAGATCAGACTGGAGAGGAGGAACAAATAGATATGGAAAGGGTGACAGAGGTATTGAAAAGCAAAATCGAACCGCACAAACTGAAGATTAAGATTAAAACGGTCAGGAAAGTAAAAGACAATGGTGTTTGCATTAGGGTGGGGGACAGAGATCAGAGCATATCGCTCGAGAAAGCAATTAAAGAGATCAAAGAACTTGATGACAAGATTAATTGTAAACGCTCCGAAGGAAAAAAACCGAGAGTGGTCTTATTGAACGTACCCCAATCCATCCAAGAAGAGGACATACCTACATATATATATAAACAAAACGACATATGGGGAGATTTAAAAGTAGAAACTTTTAAAAACCAGTGTACAATCAGTACAATACTGAATAGGGGAAGACGGACAGAGAACTGTAGGCATGTTGTCTTATCGGTGGCACCACAAATACGCAACACCTTCATTAAAGAGAAGCATATCTCGATTAATTGGGCCACCATCAAGGTGGATGATTACATCCCTATAACAAGGTGCTACCGATGTTGTGGTACCGGACATATAGCCAAAGATTGTGACCAAGAACAACACTGCTCCCACTGTGGTAAGAACCACAAATATTCAGAATGTGACAGACTCAAAGAGCCGCCTTGCTGTGTTAACTGTCACAGAAATAACAAAGATGCACCAAACAGTAAGAAACAGCCGACAAACCACGGAGCACTTCACCCTATGTGCCCAATCACTAAAAGATTAAAAGAAGCGGCTATAAAAAGAACCGATTATGGATTATAACAACCTACAGACAAATACTCAGAGACACAACTCAACCCAGCAACAGAATAAGTACAACCGCTCCTTTAATATACTCCAAATCAACACGCAGCGGAGCAAGGCGGCATGCTCTAACTTGATTCAAATGGCTAATGAGATGAATATCGACCTAATCTGTATACAAGAACCTTACCACATAAACAATAACATTGTGAGGTTCGGCAGGTGGAAGGTGATATCTGGTACCAACAGATCTAGGCCTAAGAGCGGCATAATATGCTGCAATTCTAATATTGATATTGCAAAAATTCCACAGTTGTGCACAGACAGGTTAACTACTATCATCCTCCAGCTCTCTGATCCTATCTTAATCATAAGTGCTTACTTCTCACCGGAAGATGACGACGAAGAATGCGTCAAAGAACTTTCCAGCATACTCAGAAAAATCAGAAACCAAAGGTTCATGATTATGGGTGATTTAAATGGCAAATCACCGGTATGGTTTCATGAGAAAGAGGACAAGAGGGGCAGGATTATAACTGAAATGATGGGCGAATTCAACTTGATTTCAACCAATATGACGACGCACCCGACGTTCTATACCCCATTCGCTAAAGGATGGACGGACGTATGCTTTGTCACGGACAACCTTTCTCATGAGATCGATAATTGCGAGACGCTTCTCATTCCTTCAGCTAGTGACCACCGCTTCATCCTTACCCAGATTAAACAGCCTAATACTGCAATAAGGGCGATGGAAAACTCATTTCAGGTGAAACAAACGAACTGGACACTTTTTAGACAAGAATTTGCTCGGTGCTGGCAAAGATATGACTTCCCGAATATTAACACCCACGATGATATGGACAGTTATGCTCAGTTCTTTACTGAGGCACTGAAAATTGCGGGTGCAAAGGCCCTTAAATACAAACAATTACCTCCAAGGAAAACAAAATGGTGGGATGACTCCCTGAATCGAAAAAGAAGAGAGGTCAACAGAATGAGAAAAAAATACATAAGAGCCAAAAACACCGATGAGGAAAAGAATTATAAAATCAAATATAACGACACCCTAAAACAGTATAAGAAGTTAATTAATAAGACCCGTACAGGATCTTGGAAAGCTTTCTGCACCGAATCTAACAGAAATGGCCCATGGGATATCCCCTACAGCATGATTATGAAAAAGCAGAAGAAAACCTTTCTTCCGGACGTCACCTGTTCAGATGGTGACGCTGATATAAACACTGACCTCGAAGGAAACATCAAACATATATTGAATTACCACTTTCCAGAAGATAATCAAGACTGTGACACTACGAAACAACAGGGCATAAGAAGGAATATATCTCAGCTCTATAATAATAAGAATGACAAGATGTTTACCTTTAGAGAAGTAGAGCGGGCAATCAAAACTATGGCAATCAGGAAATCACCCGGCATCGACGGCATCACGGTAGAGATGTTAAAAGAGGCTTTTAATGAGATTCCCATCGCCTTCGTGCACATTCTGAACAAATGCCTAACCACAGGATTTTTCCCTAAAATATGGAAGATCGCCGACATAAAATTAATTCCCAAGACCGACAATCCAAGCAAGCCAGAAAACTACAGACCCATTAGCTTACTGCCCACAATGGGTAAGCTACTGGACGGTCTCATGATGGAGCGTATAAATTGGCATCTCTCCAGTACCAATCAACTTAATGAAAACCAGTTTGGCTTCAGACCAGGCAAGTCGACGGTTGATGCAGCATTAAGAACGAAAAAAAAAAATACACGACGCCTGGAAAGAAAACAAGCACACAATGCTGGTAAAGATTGATTTCCATAAAGCTTTCGACCACCTATGGTGGCCAAGCATTTTAAACCGTCTACGTCAAACCAATTGCCCCGCCAACATTTACCACCTTGTTAAAGACTATCTGAATGATAGATCTATTGTATATAAGGCAAACACCTTCACCGTCAACAGACCCACCAATCGTGGCTGCCCCCAGGGCTCGCGAAGCGGACCTGGGTTGTAGAACTTAGTCTGTGACGACCTACTTAACCTTATGTCAAGTGGACAAAACTCCATAATACAGGCTTTTGCGGATGATCTCATTTTGATGGTAACGCATCAGAATGTCGACAAACTGGAAGATATAGCGAATAAACAATTGGAAAAAATTTTTACCTGGAGCAAAGAAAACAAACTCCCGATCAACCATGAGAAGACAATCGGCATGGTGTGCACGAGGCGAAATAAACGTAATAGGTTAAAAAGACCACCAAGGATCTTTATAAATAATAAAAAAATTAAAATGGAACAAGAACTCAAATACTTAGGCATTCTATTCGATGATAAATTAAATTGGCACAATCATATTCGAAGTATTTGCAAAAACATGGAGCAGAAAGCGAATATGCTAAACTGGATCACGGCAAAAACGTGGGGTCTTAACTTCACAAATACTAAATTTATTTACGAAGCAGCAATAGAACCAGCTATCCTTTACGCGGTTCAAGTGTGGAAGGAGGCACTCGATAATATTCACATGAAGAAAAACATAACATCTATTCAAAGAAAATTTGCTATTAAAATTAACAAGGCGTATAACACCGCACCAACTAGTGCTCTTCAGATTATGGGCGACCTTCTTCCAATACACCTCAGGGCCAAATACCTAATTTGGAAATGGCACCTCACAACAACGAACCAACAAATCGATCATCACTTTCCTGAAGACGAAGAAATATATACAGAGTTAAAAAGGAACAACTCGATCATTGATTTAAATAACAAAAACTATGGAATTGATAGAAACCTAAAGAAGAACGAATATACTACACATCCGGCAGAAGAATCAAATTATTGCATACACTGGGAGGAAAAAGCTGACACAGAAATTAAAACAACTTGGAAAATTTACACTGACGGATCCAGGAGTGACAAAGGGACAGGAGCGAGTTTTATAATTAAAAACTCCAAGGACAGAACTGTATATCAGTGCTATTTTAAACTAGGATCCCACTGTACTAACTCCCAAGCTGAGTTATATGCAATTCTTAAAGCAATTAATCATGTAGAAAACAACATTGACATATTTAAAGGTAATATTTACATTATGACGGACAGCAAAACTTCTCTTCATAGATTAATTAACAGGAATCGAATCACGATCTTATCAAGAAAAGTCCAAGAGGCAGCCAAGCTACTAAGTTCTAAACGAAAAATAACTTTTGCATGGGTTAAGGGACACAGTGGTAACGACGGGAATGACATGGCCGATAAACTGGCCAAACTTGGTGCAAGTAGTGACATAATACCATCATACAACGACGTTTCTCTCACTACCCTCAAAAACTATCTTCTCTCGTTGATCAATACTATCTGGCAGCGGGAATGGGAGACCGCTGAAACGGGTAGAAACTGCTTTCAGTTTATCCCATCGGTGAACATCAGAAAAAAGGCCAACTACTACAAACCAAACAAGTTTACCACTCAAGTTATTCTAGGCCACGGTAACTTCCCTGCTTACTTACACAGATTCAGCATAAAGGACAACAACTTATGTGATTGCAACAATAGTGATATTGGTGACGCGATCCATTTTGCCTTTCACTGTGAAAAATACAGCAATCAACGATCAGAACTTTTCTACAACTACCTACTAAAGAACCCTTCTTGGCCACCAAAACCGGTGAACATTTACACTGACAAAAATCTCTGGAAAATCTTCGAGGACTTTATCATCAAGACTGAAGCTTTAAAAGAACATTTTAACAACAGTGAAAACAGACATTACCCAGACGATAGTGACAACATGGTGGAACACTCATCAGAAGATGAATTTCTCCAGAGAGGATCTTCGTGATCCCCTCTGTTATCATCGCTCCTAAATTAGTGTTAAGGTTAATTATGTCTATACATGTTTTAATGTTATGGGAGCATATTATTTGTATAAATTTACATGTTAAAGCGGCCAGTTGTCTGCAGGCCATTATTGTACGCGGTATCTCATTGTTTAGTTGGTAGTAATGTATCCTCTTGTATTGTCTTATGTATTCTTAATGTATTTTGATTGTATTTTATGTTCAATAAATGCCGATGCAAGACGCCCTCTGGTCCCATGCCTTACTTCACCCTTTCCTATTCATCTTTTACTTCATACTTCATATCACACGCTTTATACTTCCTTCAATCTTCATTAGGGCAGAAGTCTGTGTCGCAATCTACAGACAGCCCTCTATAATCTTTAGTAAAATGTCTATAGAAACGGAGAGGGCGTCGAGTCGCTGACCAGTGAAGACGTGCTGCACATCGCTCCGGATTTCGATCGTCCCATCGGCGGTTCTATGGATTAATCGTCCAAGTGTGATACATCATTAGAATCGGCGTAACGTAAGCTCTCGTTTATCGTTTATTTTATTTAAATCGGCCCACGCGTTTTCAAGTTACGGCCGCCGGAAGTTTCCGGTTTTCCGCCAACTTTTTCCGTGTGGTTTCCGCGGGTAGGCTGTTAAGTTATATACCGTTCTTCTCGGCGTTTTACGCTCTTTTACCAGCCATCGACCGTGTCTCGATCGGTCGATTAGTTCCCGATTTATTTCGACCGAAAGCTGTCTCGGATCGGGCCGTTCTGCGGGCCTCTCGGGCTTCCGATCATTTCTACGATCGGGTAATTCTAAGCTCACAACCTAAGCTCTATGTGTATAAATTTTTGGGCCGATACGTGTAATAGTTTTAAATTTACGTCCGCTTTAAGTTTTTTGACGAACAAAGGGGTGAAAAGGTCATTGACCTCACCACGTGGCTGGGTCGGTTACCCTAACTGACCCTAATTCGGCGGTCGCTCGTCACTTTTTTGTCGGGTTCTGTTTGTTCTATCTTTTTGTGTAATATATCATTGGACTTGTATAAATTTAGCGAATATTTTTGTATATATTTTATTATATTTTAAAATTTTTTGATATCATTTTCTGGACTTTTGTGCTTTTGTGAATGATGAACTCATCTTCATTACAACCAAGGGTTACCTTGACTCTCTTAGACGAGGGACTGGGGGATTGTAACAAGGAACCCGAACCTGACTGTATGGACACAACAGAAAAGACTGAGAACTTTCTCGTTAGAGATGCCAACAGGCTTCTTGGTGTGATTCTGGAGCTATGCCCAGAACACACGAATACAAACGTGAAGCAAAAGAAGCACGTTAAAATTAGAGAGAGTGTGGCGAAACTATTTGGCTACATCCATGAGATGCATGCCATTGTTAAAGAGGTAAGAGGGGCCAGTAGCAGCCAACAAGTGGTGAATCAAGTACAACAGGTGGCACATCAACCCACGTACAGTGAAATCATCAAACGGAACATCAAACCCAGCGTTACTACTCAGAATATCCACAAATCCCTACATCAAAAAATTAATAATGAAGGCACTGGAGGATCCCACGCGGTACTAGTGTACCCAAAACATCAGGAGGAAGATGGAACACAAACTGATATGAAAACCATCACAGAAGAACTAAAGAGAAAGATAGAACCACATAAGTTACAGATAAAAATCAAGGCAGTCAAAGAAATAAAAGACAACGGCATCTGCATCAGGGTCGGCAATAGGAAACAGAGTGAAACGTTGGAGAGGGCCATCAATCAAATTCAAAATCTACAAGACAAGATCACCTGCAAACGCTCGGAGGGCAGAAGACCCCGCATAATACTGCTAAATGTACCACAATCCATCTCAGAAGAAAACGTGATAGAATATATACACAGCCAAAATAACGTCTGGGGAAATATAACCAAGGAAGACTTCTACAATGAATGTAAGGTTAGCACTGTTATAACAAGTGGAAAACATACTGAAAACTGCCGTCACATAGTCATTACAGCTTCCCCAACAATAAGAAATATACTAATCCGAGAAAAACATCTCTCAATGAACTGGGCAACAATCAAAGTGGATGATTTCATCCCTTTGCTAAGATGTTACCGCTGCTGTGGGATCGGCCATATGGCAAAATCCTGTGATAGAGAGCAACACTGCACCCACTGCGGGAAAGAACACAGGTTCTTGGAATGTGACAGATGCAACGAGCCACCGTGCTGCATAAACTGCCACAATTACAACAAAGAGCAGCCGAATTAAAAAAAGCAGCCTACAAACCACGGTGCGCTTCATCCTAATTGCCCAATGACTAAGAAACTAAAAGAGAACGCCATAAAAAGAACCGACTATGGCCTGTAATGACTCAAATCAATGCACTATGACGACCACCTCCACTAAGAAGAAGCAAGAGAACAAAACCATAAATATCCTCCAAATCAACACTCAGAGGAGCAAGGCTGCGTGCTCCCAACTCATTCAAACGGCGAATGTCATGAACATTGATATTATTAGTATACAGGAACCGTATCACATTGATAACAAGATCGTAAGGTTCGGTAGGTGGAATGTAATATCCAGCAACAAAAACACGAGACCGAAGAGCGGTATCATCTGCTGCAACCCCGGACTAGACATCGCAAAAATACCGCAATTATGCAGCCAAAGATTAACAACTGTTATACTACAAACAACCGAACCCATCATTATAATAAGTGCCTATTTCTCTCCTGAAGATAAGGACGAGAACTGTGTAAATGAATTATCGGATACCCTTAGGAAAATCAAAAACCATAAATTTATGGTCATAGGTGACCTGAACGGCAAATCCCCAATATGGTTCCACGAGGAGGAGGACAATAGGGGCAGATTAATCTCTGACGTTATGAATGAATTTAATCTGATATCAACAAATATGACCACTTACCCCACCTTCTACACCCCTCACGCCAAAGGTTGGACTGACGTATGTCTCGTCACTGATAACCTTTCGCATAAAATAGATAACTGTGAAACCCTTCTCTGCCCCTCCGCCAGCGACCACCGATATATACTCACACAAATCACCTACAATGCCCACATCTCCATCAACAGGACGAACTCTTTTCATTCCAAGCAGACCAACTGGACTGCCTTCAAAGATGAATTCGCCAAAAATTGGCGCCTTTACAATTTTCCACCTGTCATCACTCACGAAGATATGGACAATTATGCAAACTTCTTCACAAATGCCCTAATAACCGCAGGCAAGAAGGCACTCCGTATTAAGATCCTACCACCAAGGAAAACCCCTTGGTGGGACGACACCCTTAACCAAAAGAAGAAAGAGGTTAATAAAATCAGAAAGAAATTCACTAGGGCTATTAACATCAATGAGAAAAAAGAGCAGTACAAGAACCGGTATAAAGAAGCCCTTAAGCAATATAAGAAACTCATAAATAAAGCCCGCACTAGATCATGGAAAAAATTCTGCACAGAATCGAACAGGAAGGGACTGTGAGATCTTCCCTACCATCTTATAATGAAAACACAAAAGAACACATTCTTGCCGCACATCATCGGCCAAGATACGGACAATAACAACTTTCAGAACATAGACATCAAAGAAAATATCAATGAAATCCTTAAATTTCATTTTCCAAAGGACAATCCAAACGACGATACGGAGCACCACAAGGAAATCAGAAACAGTGTCAAAGATACAACCAACATTCCCAATGATAGACCATTCACCTTCAGAGAGATTAAAAAAGCCCTAAACACCATGGCTAACAAAAAGGCACCTGGAGTGGACAACATCACACCGGAGATGCTCAAGGAAGCTTACAAAGAGATTCCCATCGCTTTTGTGCACCTCCTCAACACGTGCCTCACTACAGGTTTTTTCCCGAATGATTGGAAAACCGGAAATATCAAATTAATCCCGAAGAAAGATAACTTGGACGAGGCGAGGAACTATAGGCCTATAAGTTTACTACCCACAATGGGGAAACTATTGGACGGGCTGCTCATTGATCGAATAAATTGGCACCTCACCAGTACGAAACAACTAAACCCCAACCAATTTGGCTTCAGGCCGGGGAAATCTACCATTGACGCTGCTTTGAGAATCAAGCAAATCGTCAATGATGCTTGGACCAGAAACCATCACACGATTCTCATTAGCATCGACTTCCACAAGGCCTTCGATCACTTGTGGTGGCCAAGCGTTCTGAATCGCCTGATCGACACAAAATGTCCCAACAACCTCTACCAACTGACTAAGGACTACCTTAACAATAGAAAAATAAAGTATGTCAGCAATAGTTTCACAATCAGCATGAACACCAACAGAGGATGTCCCCAGGGCTCGTGGAGCGGCCCTGGACTCTGGAACCTTGTGTTTGACGACTTACTCAATCTCATCACTCCTGATCAAACAGTAACTCTCCAGGCATTCGCGGACGATCTTCTACTCACGATCTCGCACCAAAATGTGGACAAGCTCGAAGATATTAGTAACACTTATCTAAAAAAAATCCACAAATGGAGCCAGGACAATAACCTCCCCATCAACCACAAGAAATCGGTAGGGATGGTCTGTACAAGAAGAAACAAACATAACAGACTACAGAGACCACCCAGAATTCTTATCGGAGGAAAAAAGATTAAAATCCAGCAAGAGATCAAATACTTGGGTATATATTTTGATGACAAACTTAACTGGCATACTCATGTCAGGAATATATGCCAGCACATGGAAAAAAAGGCGAACCTTTTGAACTGGATCTCCGCTAAAACATGGGGCCTAAACTACTCAAACACCAAATACATCTACAAGGCGGCAGTTGAACCCGCCCTTCTCTATGCAGTACAAGTCTGGCACGAGGCCCTTAACAATGTACATATGAGGCGAAAACTGACCTCAATCCAAAGAAAATTTACCATCAAAATTACCAAGGCCTATAATACGGCCCCTACCAGTGCCCTTCAAGTGCTAGCTAACCTGCCCCCGGTTCACTTACAAGCTAAATACCTAATTTGGTATTGGTATCTCAACTCGAACAACAACAATATGGGACGTCAACCGCCTGAGGATGATGACTTTAACTTTGAAACTATTGAGAACATCACGCTTATTGACAAACATAAGAACAACTATGGAATCGATAGAAATCTCAAGAAAGATGAATACAAACACCACCCAGCGGAGGCAATTAATTACAAAATTCATTGGGACAATGAAAAAAATAGCACACACAACGCCAAGTGGAATATTTTTACAGATGGATCGAAGAACAAGAATGGTACAGGTGCGGGTTTCACAATTAGGAACTCTAAGAACAGGACTCATTACCAGTGCTATTACAAACTCTCACCTCACTGTACAAATGCTCAGGCTGAACAGTGGGCTATCCTAAAAGCCCTTCAACACATGACCACCAATCAGGATACCTATAAGGGCAATATCTACATATATACCGACAGCAAAGCGGCCCTCCATAGCCTCAACAACTCCACCAACCACACTGTTCTAACATACCAACTGTTCACCACGGCAATGGCCCTGGGCCACATTCGCAACCTCAACTTCGCTTGGGTTCCTGCCCACAGAGGAGTGCTCGGAAACAAGATGGCGGACAGATTGGCCAAGCTGGGGGCCAACTCCGCTATTGTGCCATGCTACACCGACATCCCACTGCAAACCCTCAAGAATCATCTGGCCGCCATTGTTAACTCTCTCTGGCAGAGGGAGTGGGAGAGGGCAGAAACCGGCAGGAACTGCTTTCTCTTCATTCCCTCTATCAACATAAGGACCAACGCTAAGCATTTTGAGCCAAACAAATTCTCTACCCAAGTACTTACTGGACACGGGAATTTCCCCCATTACCTGTGCAGATTCGGGAAAAGGGACTTGGACAAGTGCCCCTGCCCCGAAAACGTTCCTGGTGACGCTGTCCACTTCGCTTTTACCTGCCAAACGTTTGACGATCATCGGGCCACCCTCATGTACAAATACCTGCAGAAAAACACAAGCTGGCCTCCAAACCCAGCAAACGTATTCAAGGACAAAGACCTTTGGAAAGAATTTATGAACTACCTAAACAAAAGTGGTGCCCTAGTCGAACACAACCCCGAAGAAAACAAGGAAGAATCAGACAATCAAGATAACAACGATTCTGTAGACGACGATACCAGCCGAGACTCACTAGAAGAGGATGAAGATGACCTCTAGCAAGTCTACTGTCACATCACTAGGTTCCTCTTGCTACACCTCACCAAAACTTTGTACTTTGTTTTATGGTTATAAATTCAATATTAAAATTTGTATTTAATACCCCATTAATGTAACCCACCCCACGATGTAGCAGCTATCATAGCCCGTCTGCTTGGTTCTATTTGTAAATAGTGTATTATACAATGTTAACTATGTTCCTGTAATGTAACTGATTATGTTTACTGTATGTTCCTTTTACCATGTATCTCTGTTTTTATCTCAATAAATGCGATGCAAGACGCTCTCTGGTCCCATGCCTTCCCTTCACACTGTCCTCTATTGCTTTCTTTCACACTTCACATCTCATGCTGTCTCTTCTTTCAATTTCTAACAGGGCATAAGACTGTCCCCATACAGTCAGCCCTCTAATATCTTTAGTACAATGTCTATAGAAACGAGTCTGAGTTTGGATGTCATCAAGGTAAGACCTGTGCTTCTTTGCTCCAGACAGTATATTTTAGCTATACTAGGGTGTTTAGCCTAATATTAGGCTTAGCTTAGGTTTCTCAGTGCTACGGCATAGGAAAGTAGGCTTGTGTTAGGGTTAGCCAGGGACTAAGGTCTTGGATTGCTAAGCCTAACTTTTTGGCTTACTTTATTTTCGAAAAGTTTGCTTTTTGAGGAGCACCATCTTGGCTTCCCCGTCTTGAAGTACAAGAGGACCAACCTAGCAGCCATCTTGAGTTCAACGCTGAGGCTGCCAACTTGCCCATTACTGCAGCAACTGAGTTATTCTACTAGGCCGCCATTTTGAAAGGATACAGGAAACGGCCATCTTGGAGAGTGCTTTATCTACTTTTTGTTTCGGTCGGGCCTTCCCCAGTTGAGGCAGGTCCCTAGCCAGCTGGTGCCATCAAAGGCCAAGCTAGCTTGGCCACCATCTGCATCTCCCCACCCCATATAGCCAGCCTGCACAGGCACTTCTGGTGTGTGAGGGTGACTCGTGCATGTTGCGTCGGGCAAATTCTGTCAGGCAGTGAGTTCAGTTTGCACCAACCGCTACCTACAAGTTGCGTCGTGCAACCACTTCCCGGTCAGTAAGGAACAGCTTCAGGGCCCTTCTCTTCAGTTAGGCTAAGTGACTCTTTACTGTTTGGCTTATTTGGACATATCTTTTCTCTCGTCATGGTGGATCTTAACAATAGTTTTGCTGAGGAGGACCTTATCTCTACAGTTACTTCCAGTCTGGGGATTATCCTCAGCTCCCTCCCGACGGATAGTAATGTATCCGTCAGGGTTGCTGACCGCCACAAGGTAAGGGAAGCTGCCTTAGAGATGCATGCGGCAGCGAACCAAATTTTCGGGATGGTTCTCGCCTTAAGAGAACAACTCAAAAAGCCCCTGCAAGTAGGAGCTACCCAAGAAGACGCCACCTACTCGGCAGCCGTAAAGAAAAATACCTCTACAGCCAGTTCAACCACCAAATTAATTGCTGCCAACGCAGCTAAGCTGGAAGGGAAAATAAACCCAACCAAATCTGAGCATAACATAATTGTCTCAGCCATTTCCAACCCAGGAGAGCCAATACCCACTCCCGAAGAAACTATGGACATTGTCCAGTCAAACATTCACCCTTGGCAGCTTAGCATCAAAGTCAACCGAGTCTGGCCTATGCCGAGTGGAGACATAAATATACAAGTCCAATCAGAAGAAGACCTAAAAGTTCTTGACAAGGCAATACGGACAAATGAAGATCTTTCCAAAAAATTGAAAATCTCAAAGAAAAATAAGAAATCACCGAAAATTATTGTATTCAATGTCCCAGAAAGCGTCGAAGAAACAGAAATTTTAGACAACCTATATCTGCAAAACCCGCCGATACAGGAGTGTACCACCACAAATGACTACAACAAAGAAGTAACCATAAACCACAGCTTCCATCCCAGGGAGAAAACTAGTGTAAGACACATAGTTCTAAATGTGACACCAAGCATTCGGAATGCAATAATAAAACAAGGTAAAATATTTATAGGATGGTGCTCTCTGAGGGTTGATGATTTTATTCCGGTCATTCGGTGCTTCAACTGTTCCGGTTATGGACATACCTCGCCCAACTGCAAAGAGCGCCAACGGTGTAGCCATTGCTCTAAAAGGCATAGGTACAAAGACTGCCCAAACTTAAATAAGGAACCACGCTGCATAAACTGTCACAACTTCAATAAAACTGTTACTGACCAGAGAAAATTATATACTGACCATAACACTTTCGATAGGAGCTGCCCTATGCTTAAAAAATATAAGGCGGCCCTCGTTAATAACATTAATTATGAATAAGCTCCACCAGCTATCACCATTCAGGCATTATTCCGCCTTCCCGTCGCAAAATATCAACAACAATCTGAAAGACAACATCAATCTGCTCCAAATCAACTTACAACGTTGTAAAGCCGCCTCTTCCGCCACAATGAAGACTATCATAGACAATAGTATCGACATACTAGCATTCCAAGAACCTTACCTTCACGCTGGAGTCCCGGCCCTACTGGGCCGAGGCCATATTTTAACTTGGAATAGTGGATCCACCCAAGTGCTAACTGGCTTCCTTATTACGAACAAGCACCTCAACTGTCAACTAGTCACCCAACATTGTTCAGAGTACGCCACCACCATCAGCATCACCACCAATACGACCACTCTCTACGTCATTAACACTTACTGTCCTCCTTCCGAAGACATTGAGGGCCCGTTAAATGATATCAGGACGATTGTTTCTGGACTCAAGGATCATCCCATCATTCTGTGTGGGGATTTTAATGCTAAATCTCCCATCTGGTTCAGCCCCATCGAGGACCCTAGGGGGCGCGCGGTTAATGACCTGATGGTTGATTTGGATCTTTTCTCCCTAAATAGTAGCTCCCTCCCAACTTTCTCAAACTCTAATGGGAATAGTTGGATTGACCTATGCCTAGGAAATAAAAAAGTTATTGACCAGATAAGCTACTGTAGTACCTTACCATCAGCAACGGCTAGTGACCATGCCTACATCAATACCGTTATCAGCGGAATAAAGTGTAATAACAACATCCACATCACTAATAAGACCAACTGGGACCTCTTTGAAAACTACCTGAAGGCTTATTGGGACCCTACCAACATTAACAACATCTACACCCAGGAGGACATTGATTCGGCTGTTAACAACCTCCTCCACGCCATCCACCATGCTTATTATAATGCTACTGATATCAGTACTCACAAACCCTCCATCCCTTGGTGGACTCCTAATCTGTCTAACAAACGCAAGCAAGTTCGGAGGGCCTGGAGGAAGTACTATAATGCTTCTGACCCCTCCAATAGGGAGGAATGGAAAGCCAATTACAACACCCTCCTCCGTGAATATAAAACCCTCCTTAATAAAACCAGAAGGGAATCCTGGAAAGAATTCTGTTCTAACTCCAATACCTCTGGGCCTTGGACCATTCCCTATTACACCGCCATCAAGAAGAAAAAGACCCTCCACCCCCCAACGACTATCTCAACCCAAGCGGGGATGACCACTAATCTGGGTGATACTTGCTGTGCTATACTCACCGACCTTTTTCCCACCGATGACCCCAGTTCTGACAGTGATCTCCATCGGACTACCAGGCTTAAGGCTAACAATATTCCCAAGGTCGAGAATGACACCCTCTTCTCCTTTCTGGAAATTCAAAAGGAATTTAACCAAATCAAAAAGAAGGCCCCGGGCCCTGACAGGGTGGACTTCAGGATGGCAAAACATGCCTTCGCCGCTATCCCAACTACCTTCTCTGTCCTCTACAACATCTGTCTACAACACCGCTACTTTCCCCATCCCTGGAAGGAGGCTGAGGTCAAGTTAATCCAAAAGAATAAAGACATCTCCCCAACAACTGCATCAGATTACCGCCCCATCTCCCTACTATCTATCCTCGGGAAAGTGCTGGACTCCCTACTGAGTAAGAGGATCCAGTTCCACCTCGACAAGAACAACTTCTTCCACCCAGCCCAATATGGGTTCAGGAAGCATAAGAACGCCCATCAGGCCATGAACAAAATTCTGGACTATATTAACACCGCTAAACAAGAAGGAAAACACACCCTTATGGTCTCGGTAGATTTCAAAGGCGCATTCGATCATGCCTGGTGGCCGGCCATACTGGCTGCTCTCTCCGAAACCGACTGCCCGCCGAACATCTTCGGGCTCCTTCAAAGTTACCTGTCAAACAGGAGCGCTAAAATCAGCTACAGTGGTACCACCTTCTACTCTACCCCTATCTCTAGGGGTTGCCCGCAGGGGTCCAAATCTGGGCCCCTACTTTGGAATATTTTATATAACAGCATACTCTCTCTCACTGAAAGTAACTCCTTCGACGGGAACCCTTATTGCCAGGGGTACGCCGACGACACGGTTGTCCTCCTCTCTAACCAAAACCAAGAAGTCTTACAAGATCAAGTGAACATCGTCCTACAAGCTATTTATGATTGGAGTGTCAATAATAAACAAATCATCAACTATAATAAAACCCTTTGTATGGTATTCCCCAAAGGGAATCCATTACAAAAGAAACCAGTCATCAAGATAAATAACAACAGGATTAAATGCGTAAATGAAATCAAATACCTGGGGATCATACTGGACTGTAAACTCACGTGGAAAGAGAATACCTACCATACTTATAATAAAGCGATCACTGTCTCCCACTCCCTAAGGTGTATAGCGAGGAACACGTGGGGCCTAGACAGTAAAACCAGCCGTATGATTTACAGAGGGGCTATCGAGCCTATTCTAACCTACGGTTGTGAGGCCTGGGGGTATTCGGCTTCAAAAGTCCATATTCAGAGGAAACTTTTGTCAGCTCAGAGGCATGCCGCTATAGCCATAACTAAAGCCTACAGGACGGCCCCAACAAATGCCCTCCTGGTGATCGCGGGCCTTACCCCAGTACATCTAATTATTTATCAGCGCTTCCTCAAGAACCAGTTTATCAGGATGCACCATAATGAAATCACCCCACAACAGTTACATAAGACTGCAAATCAACTCAAGCTCCCAGAGGACTTTCACCAGCTTATCGATCAAATTGTGGATAATGGTTTGGACTTGGTCTCCTCCCATTACCCCACCCACCCAGCTAACCATTTGGATGTCACATATACTTCCATCACAGACTCCATTCCAGAAGGAATAAACTTTTACACCGACGGTTCTAAGACCGACACTAATGTTGGTGCCGCGGTCTATCTCAGTGATGACAAGAGAGTCCTTTATTGGCAGGCAGTGGCCCGACTGAAGCCCCTCTGCTCCAATAATCAGGCTGAATCACTCGCCATCCTTAATTCCCTGGAATACATTAAGAAGCACCTTAACAATTTTCGGAAGACCAAAGTGAATATTATTAGTGACAGTCGGGTGGCCTTAAGCCAAATTATCCATGGGAACAGCAACCTCCCGATTGTGAAAAACACACTCAACCTCCTGCATGAACTAACTCACCAGCTCACAATCAACTTCTTCTGGGTTAAGGGGCACTCAGGTGTCCCTGGGAATGATAAAGCTGATAACTTAGCAAAAAAAGCTGCAAGCATCACCAACAGCATCCAGTATCAAGCCATTCCAACTACCACTCTCAAGACCTTAATCAAGAACATCACCATGAAGATGTGGCAGGCCGAGTGGGACCAGAGTTCCACCGGCCGCCACACCCACCAATTCTTCCCGGACATCATCTCCAGGCTCAACAACAAGCATTTCCACACTACACACTCCCTTACTCAGATGTTAACTGGACACGGGAACTTTAAATCCTATCTGTGTCGGTTTCTTAACAAAGACTCCGAACTATGCAACTGCGGTATACCGGAAAATCAGGACCCCGACCATCTCCTCTACACCTGCAGACATCACAACACCGAGAGGACTTCCCTCCGCGATGCCTCCCTGGCTGAGTATGGGCACTGGCCATGCCACCCCAGGGAGTTCATCGATCAACACCGGCTCTATCAAGCCTTTAAAACCTTCGTCTGCAGCCTAAAGCTATCCGACTACTCAGGACCCAATCAGACCCCTTCAGCGTAGTTCGACAACCGCCACTCCAGATTCGTCCACATTACCGGGCCCTTCCCGGTGAGGTAGTCTTCTATTCATAACTAAGTATTAAATGTATCTTATGTATATATGTTTCCCTGTATATCATTCATCAATTGTACTGCACCATTTGTATTTTAGCATTTAAGCACCTATGTATTTAATTATTTTATGTAACTGTTTACCGTTTTATGTTCATCCATTCTGGCACCCGTTCACCCACTTATATTACTATGATTATTAATCTTACAATTGTATCTTTTGTTCACTGTAAACCTGTATCACGCCCATCTAAATGGATCTTACTGTATCTGTTCGACCCTCCTTTTGTTATTTATCACTGCTCTGCAACTAATGTAACCTACTGCTTCAATATTACCCTGTATGCGTGTATATGCTATGTATTATCTCATCTATGATTGTACTAATGCTTTGTATAATAAACGGAACCCGGCAAGCGCAATTGAGATCTCCCCTTCCACCCCCTTTCACTTCTCTCTTTTCTTACTTCCCACCTCCTTCTACCCACTATCCCCTTCTCTTCTACAGGCAATACCATTGAGTGCGCCTTGTCTTTCAAATTCCTGTCTATAGAAACAGAGGTCGTCGAGTCGTCGAACTGGTAGGACGTGGTGAACATCACTCCTGATTTCGATCGCCGCATCGACGCCATTATCGTTCAATCCGAGTATTATTGTACACCGCTTGATTCAGCTAACGGTAAGCTTTCGTCTATCGTTTATATTTTCTGAATCGGTCCAGCCGTTCGGAAATTACGGCCCCCGGAAACTTTCGGATTTCCGGACGCTTTTTCCGGGTTCCTTCCGCTCTAAAGTGGATTTAACGCTGATTACGACGCCGTTTACGGAATTAAAATCCGTTAAGCCGTTCGCTAATTATTACGACCGGAACTTTTGGTATATCGGGCTACCGTGCGGGCCTGTCGGGCTACCGAAGAGGTCGCCGATCGGGTGTTTCTTTGTACGAAGGATTAAGAATACGTAGCGTAATTTTCGACTCGCTGCTCCTTTTTATTAATAAACTACGGCCAATTTTATATTCTCACATAGACAAAAGAGTCAAAGGTCGTTGACCTCGCCACGTGGCCGGGTTAATCTAACCGACCCTAATTCGGCGGATCGGTCGCTCGTTTTTTCGGGACCTAATAACCGTATTTTAAGACGGAATACGTTGTTCGGTCGCTTAAAAATCGTAGAATTGTTACTACAACTAAATTTAGTTATAATTTAAAAAATTCTTTTTTAAAATTTTCCCGGCTTCTGGAACCGAGTATCGCTTTATTGTACATCTCTTCGGCTAGTGGGAGAGATAAGTATACTCAGTTACACGCGGAAATAAAAATTGTTAATTATAAGTGGAACTTTGGTCAACAAAATGGACAAATCTTGTCTAGATCCAAGGGTCACTTTGACCCCGATCGACGATGAACTCGAAGGGGGAAGACAAACTCCCGACCACCATACTAATAGCGACACAGAAGAAATAGAGAATTCCCTTATAAGGGAAGCCAACAGAATGCTCGCAACTGTGTGATGGAGTTGTGCCCAGAGCACACGAATACAAACGTTAAACAAAAAGAAAGGTGCAAGATAAGGAAGTGCGTAGCGAACATGTACGGTTACCTTCACGAGATGTTCGCGATAGTAAAGGAAACAAGGAAGCAGCAGGAAAAAAGAAAAGTCAACAACCAACTAAGCACACAACAGATAACTCAACAACCCACATACAGTGACATTATCAAGAAGAACATTAAACCAAGCGCCACTACTAGAAATATACAGAGATCTCTTGGCCAGAAACTAAACGCTGAGGGCACTGGAGGATCGCACGCAGTCCTGGTGTTCCCCAAAGATCAGGATGAAGGCGAAACGAAGACAGACATGAAAAAAGTCACCGAAGAATTGAAACAAAAAATTGAGCCGCACAAACTATGTGTAAAAATAAAGGCTGTAAGAAATATTAAGGATAACGGGATTTGCATCAGAGTGGGAGACAGGGAGCAGAGCGAAACGCTTGAAAAAGCAATAAAAGAAATCCAGACCCTGCAGAACAAAATCACATGTAAAAGATTGGAAGGAAGACGACCAAGGGTCATATTCCTTAATGTACCGCAGTCCATACAAGAAGACGACGTAATAAACTGCATTTACAACTAAAATAATATCTGGAGCGGTATAGAAGAACAGAAATTTAAGGAAGAATGCAAAATTAGCACGGTACTAACAAGAGGGAGACACGTAGAAAATTGCAGACACATAGTGTTGTCTGTCCCACCAATAATTAGAAACATTCTCATAAGAGAAAAACATATCTCTATCAACTGGGCTACGATAAAAGTTGATGACTTTGTACCTCTTGTTAGATGTTACCGCTGCTGTGGTGTAGGGCATATTGCCAAAAGTTGCGATAAAGATCAGTGCTGCTCACACTGCGGGAAAAACCATCGATACACGGAGTGTGACAGATTGCAGGAGCCGCCATGCTGCATAAACTGCCACGAAAGTAACAAAGATCTGCTGAACTCAAAAAGACAGCCTACAAATCACGGGGCACTAAATCCGAACTGCCCAATCACAATAAAACTAAAGGAAGCCGCTATTAAAAGAACCGACTATGGCCTATAAACCCAAAAGGCAAAATACGCAGGAAAATATTACAACGCAGCAGAATCAGAATAAAGACACTATAAACATCCTCCAGATAAACACACAGAAGAGCAAAGCGGCATGCTCACATCTCGTCCAAGCGGCTAACGAAAAAAATATAGATATAATTGGGATACAAGAACCAAACTATATTAAAAACAAAATTGTAAGATTCGGCAGATGGGGGTGGTTTCCGGCAACACGAACAACAGACCAAAAAGCGGCTTCATAATATGTAATCCCAACCTCGACATAGCGAAAATACCCCAGCTATGCAACGAAAACATAACAACGGTTATTTTACAAGTACCTGAGCCAATCATCCTAATAAGTGTGTACTTCTCACCAGAGGAAAATGACGACAAATGCATCAGAGAACTTTCTGACGTGTTAAGAAAGATCAGTGACAGAAACATTATTATTACTGGGGACCTAAACGGGAAATCTCCCGTTTGGTTCCATGAAAAAGAGGACAGAAGAGGCAGGCTTATAACAGACTTAATGGAGGAATTTAGCTTGATCTCAACAAATATGTCTACCCATCCAACCTTCTTTACACCGTTCGCCAAGGGATGGACAGATATCTGTCTGGTCTCCGATAACATGGCACACAAAATTGACAGTTGCGAGACTCTACTCAGCCCTACCGCTAGCGACCATCGCTACATTCTAACTCAAATCCAACATGACGCACCAATCGGAAATTCTAAACCTAATTCCTTCCAAATAAAACAGACAAACTGGACAATCTTCAGACACGAGTTTGCCAAAAACTGGCAGGATTACGACTTCCTGGCGACCAACACGCAGGAGGAAATAGTAAATTATGCGAAACACTTCATTAATGCTCTAAAACTAGCAGGTGATAAGGCACTAAAATATAAAACCGTGCCGCAGAGAAAGACGCATTGGTGGAACGAATCGCTAAACGACATGAAACGGGAGGTAAACAGAGCGAGAAAGAAATACGAATGAAATAAAAACACGAGGGAGGAAAATAAATATAAGAACAACTATAAAAGGAAGCTTACACAGTATAAAAAATCAATAAATAAAACACGTACGGAATCCTGGAAGAAGTTCTGCACGGACTCCAATAAAAAAGGACCGTGGGACCTTCCATATAACCTTATAATAAAAAAACAAAAGTCCTCCTACCTCCCAGACATCACGGATCTCAACGACAGCTCTGACATCAATACCACCATAGTAAATAATGTTAGACAGATTCTAGATTACCACTTCCCGGAAGACGATCCTGACACGGACTCAACGAAACATAAAAGCATCAGGAGAACTATTCAGAACCCCATCGACACCACAAACGATAGTCTTTTTACGTTTCGGGAAGTGGATAAAGCGATCAAAAGTATGGCTAATAAAAAGTCGCCGGGAATTGACGGGATAACGGCTGAAATGTTAAAGGAAGCCTACAAAGAAATCCCAATAGCCTTCCATCACATCTTAAACTCGTGTCTAATCACTGGGTATTTTCCGAGAGAGTGGAAAATCGCTAACATTAAGCTAATACCCAAAAATGAGAACCCTAAAGAGCCAAAGGATTATAGACCGATCAGCCTGCTGCCCACAATGGGCAAGCTTCTAGACGGACTAATTATCGGCCGGATTAATTGGCACCTACACAACTCGCAAGAAATGAATAGCAACCAGTTCGGCTTTAGGCCGGGAAAATCTACCGTCGACGCAGCTCTAAATGCGAAAAAAGTGGTCTATGAAGGATGGAAGCAATATAAGCACACTATTCTGGTAAAAGTCGATTTTCACAAAGCATTCGACCACCTCTGGTGGCCGAGCATCCTCAAACGACTTCGCAATACTGGCTGCCCGAAAAATATTTACAACCTCACTAGAGATTACTTAAATAACAGAAGTGTTCAATACAACGGTAACAGTTTCTCCATTAATCGGCCCACGAACAGAGGGTGCCCCCAGGGATCGCGAAGCGGCCCTGGACTCTGGAATATTGTTTGTGACGAGCTTTTAAATTTATTCAATAATAACAAGGATATAACGATACAAGCCTTCGCCGACGATTTGCTACTAATGGTGACACATCAGAATGTGGACAAGCTGGAGGAAACAACTAATACTTACTTAAAACAGATTTACGAATGGAGCAGTGAAAATAAGCTACCCATTAACTTCGGTAAAACAACAGGAATGGTGTGCAAGAGAAGGAACAAGCACAACAGATTGCAACGACCGCCGAGAATTTTCATCAACAGTAACAAAATCAAAATCGAACAGGAATTAAATTACCTAGGCATATGGTTCGATGATAAGCTCAATTGGCATACCCACGTCTGAAACATCTGCAGACAAATGGAGCAAAAAACAAACTTGATGAATTGGATCACTGCGAAAATGTGGGGACTTAATTATGCCAACACGAAGCTTATATACAGTCGATCCCCCTATAAGATCATTGATTTTTCCGTTTTATCAGAATTACATGTTGTACGAGTCACTTAGATTTTACAAATACGTGTGCCGGGCTGTGAACGGCTCACATATTTGTAAAATCTAAGTGACTCGTACAACATGTAATTCAGATAAAACGGAAAAATCAATGATCTTATAGGGGGATCGACTGTACTCGGCGGCCATCGAACCAGCACTGTTGTATGCAGTCATGGTGTGGAAAGAAGCCCTGGAAAACGTGCATATGAGAAGGAAATTAACATCGATCCAGAGGAAATTCTTGATTAAGATAAACAGGGCATACAACACCGCCCCCACAAATGCACTCCAGATCATGGCCAACACTTTACCGATCCATCTCAAAGCTAAATACATCATATGGAATTGGTACTTAACAGCAAAAAGCACACAACACGGATACGACATTCCCGGATATGACGAGATCTACCATGAAATAAAAAACAATTGTAAAACCATCGATATCACAAAACCCAACTTCCGAATTGATAGGAAACTAAAAAAAGACGAATTCATCGAACACCCGGCTGGCAACATCAATTACACAATCCACTGGGATAACGACAACAATAAAGAAATAAAATCTAAATGGAAAATCTATACAGACGGCTCTAAAAATGACAACGGCACCGGTGCGGGATTCATCGTTAAGAATAATAATGATAGGACTACTTATCAGCATTATTACAGCATGGCCACACAGTGCACAAATTCGCAGGCAGAGATGTTCGCACTCTTGAAGGCAATTCAGCACATCCAGAACAATATCGACATCTTCAAAGGCAGCATCTCTATCCTGACAGACAGTAAAGCCGCTCTGCATAATTTAAACCAATTGACTCACCCTACCGCCCTGGCAAAAAGACTATATGACGCCGCTAACACCCTTGGAACAGTAAGAAAGTTATCTTTCGGGTGGATTCGTGGTCACAGTGGTGTCAAAAGTAATGAGATCGCTGATAAACTGGCCAAGTTAGGAGCCAGTAGCAATATCTCTCCTTCTTTTACGGACACCCCGCAGGTGGGCGTCAAAAACTACATCATGTCCCTCATTGAAAAGATCTGGCAACACGAGTGGGAAACAGGGAGAAACTGCTTCCTGTTTATTCCCTCAATTCAAACAAGAAAGAAAGCAAAACACTACGTCCCAAACAGCCTTACCACGCAAGTACTACTGGGACACGGAAATTTTCCGGCCTATCTTCATAGGTTTAAGCTTAGTGAAAACGACAAGTGTGACTGTTCCGACGACGAAATCGGCGACGCTGCGCACTTTGCTTTTCTTTGCACCAAACACGATAACTACCGAACGAAACTTATGCACGAATACCTCACCAACAACCCAAGATGGCCCCCAACTGAGCACAAAATCTTCGAGAATAAGACTCTTTGGAGAACTTTCGAAGAATTCATTTACAACACTGGTGCCCTCGTAGTAAAAAACTCAGAACATCAACGATACAACACAGAAGACACATCAGAAGACGAGAATAACCTACAAGAGGAGAGCATGGACGATAACTCCGACGAGGAGGAGTCGTCGTAGCTCACTTTCACCAGTTGGACTCCAACCAAATACTAATTGTCGCGAAATATTATATGTAATTCTTTCCTAGGAGTAATTATTATGTTTTCATATAATGTGTCAAAGTGACCATACGCTTGCACTGTAAATATTGTATATAGTATGAAATTTTATACTCCTTATACTAATTGTTTATTGCCATTTTATCTCTGTATTAATTTTATGTATTTTTATGTAACTGTATGTTTTTATTATTACAATAAATGCCGATGCAAGCGCTCTCTGGTCCCATGCCTTCTCTTCACACTTTACTTACCTACTTTTCTTCACACTTCAAATCTCAAGCTGTCTCTTCTTTCCGTTTCTGATAGGGCATAAGTCTGAATCATATCAGACAGCCCTCTTAAACCTTTAGTAACATGTCTATAGAAACAAAGAGGGCGTACAGTCGCAAAGTGGTAAAGTTGTGCTTACTTCAGCTCTTGGTTTAAGTGGTGATATTTTCTGTTGTGGTGCACCTAGGAAGGTGATTCAGGTATCGTTGGATTCGGAATAAGGAGGGGAGTAAAACGACGTCGAGTTTTTGAAGATAGGCCCACCCGTTTTTTGGGGGCGAGCGCTGAAAGTTGGGTGTTTTTCGGCACCGTTTTTTGGACAAGTTCGTTCGATTTTCCGGAATGGAATACACACTCTGAAGGACATTATCGAAGTGAGTAAAATCCTAAAATTTGGTTGACCTATGACCCTTAGTTACGATTATATCCGTACTTTTGTGTTTCGGCTTTGGCGGGCCGCATCGGGCCGAATTTTCGTTTCCGGGGGAAAATTTTGATGTCATCAGGAAGAAGAAGCCAAACCTTATACCCTTGCCAAATTTCAACTTACTGGGACCCATAGAATTTAAATAACGGCAAGTTTTAAAATTTAAGAATTCTATCACTTGACGAGGTCAACGAACTCAACGGCTTTCTAACGGATTTTTACGTCATATTCAGACGGCGTGGCGTACATTAGCCGTTCGGCGCAGCTGATCGGCGTTTCGGAATTATATACGGGAGGAGGACGAACGCAGGACTTGGACTTCTAGTTTTGGCATAAATAATTTCTGCTTTGTATCAGTGTTGGTGTAATTAATATTAATTGTAACAGTTTGGTTGTATAGATTAATTAGTTTTTAAATTAATTATAATCTTAGGTTTATCTATCTTTTCTAACTGTATTGTTGAGTATAACTCAACTCTACAGTTTGCTGGGCACTGAGCCATCTTTCTACACAAGACATAATCTTCTAGTTTTTAAGTTTCCGTTTATTTAATTCTGGGTATACACCATTAGTTAGTGTAGTGTACTATATTAGCATGGAGGAATTAGACCACGAAGTGGAACAAAGTCAAGAGAACACCCAAGAAGGTGATGTTGAGAATATAACGAACACTTGCAACAGTTCTATTAGTAACACAGTGGAAGGGAAAATCCTAAAAGAAGCTAGGACCCAAATGAAGAGAATTTTAGACCTTCTTCCTGAACCGTACAAAACTAACATAAGGAGCGAAGATAGAAAAGAGGTTAAGGAAAGGGTTGTACAGCTGTATTCAGCAGTAAAACAAATGTACGGAATCCTTACAGATTGGAGATCGGAGAGGGAAGAACAGAATACTTTAACACCAGAATTGGTAGAAACTATTAAAGAAATCAAAACGAAAGTACAACAATCAAACAACAACCCAAGTCAAATAAGCTATGCGGATGTTACTAGAACAAATCTAAATGTACTCCAGACACAAAGCCAAAACACAAAGGATATTATTAACAGTAGACAAGACAATGGAGGGAGTGCGGTATTGATTTACCCGAAGAACGAGCAAGGAGAAGCTACAAACATGGAGGAAATAGTAACAAAAATAAAGGAAAATGTACAACCCAAACAAATTAAGGTAAAAGTGAAGGGAATAAGGAAAATAAGAGGCAACGGTGTTTGTATTACGGTGAATAATAATGAAGAAGGGGAAAGACTTAAAGGTGCTGTAGAAGAGATAAAGGAGCTGGAAGATAATATTAAGTGCAGGGTTTCGGGGAAACGTCAGCCGAAAATCATCTTAATCAATGTGCCACATGACATATCGGAGGAAGAAGTAATTGAAACAATGGCAAGACAGAATAACATATGGAATGGCTTGGAAGAAGAGGAGGTGGGGAAAGGTTGTAGGATAACAACAATAATTAAAAATAAAAGGGCAGAGGGGAGAGGAAGGCACATAGTCTTAACTGTAACATCTGAAATAAGGAAAATATTAATGAAGCAAAGGTTTATAGCACTATCATGGTACACGGTCAAGGTGGACGATTTCATCCCCGTGCAGCGATGTTACCAGTGCTGCGGATTTGGCTATTGGGCCCGTGATTGTGGGGGAAAACTTCAGTGTAGCCATTGTTCAAAGCAGCATAGATATAGTGAATGTAAATTAAAGCAAACAATCCCCTTATGCATTAACTGTAAAAAACATAATATAGGATTACTATCAGATAGAAAATTGGCTACTAACCATAACGCTTTTAACAAAGAATGTCCTCTATACAACAGAGTTAAGAAACAAATAATCAAAACAATTGATTATGGACAGTAAGACTATGGACATTCCAAATCAGAGTATTAAAAAAAGATATACTCAGCAAAATAACAACAATAGTGATATTATAGAGGAGGACACACTTAACATTATTCAATTAAATAAGCAAAGGGGTAAAGCTCCAAGTTCTCTTCTGGTCCACAAGGCTAATGAGCTTAAGACAGATTTGGTTTTGATTCAGGAACCATATAATATAAATAAGGAAATAATTGGACCGGGAAGTTGGCTACTATTGTACAAGCCTACGGACAAAACCCCCAAAACTTGTATTGGGGTCAGGAACAAAAATATAGACATAGCTCTGATTCCTGAATTATCATCAAGCATTATTACCACTGCAATAATACAGACTAATATCAAAGTATTCTTACTCAATGTTTACCTCTCGCCTTACATGGAAGATGAGAAGGGTGTGGAGGAGATCGCTAATGTACTTAAGAAGATTAATTCGAGAAACATAATTGTAGCTGGGGATATAAATGCGAAATCGCCTGTTTGGTACAACATCCAAGAAGATAAAAGGGGAAGAATGATAGTCGATCTTATGAAAGAATACGATCTTATCTCGGTCAACATGTCTGACCATCCGACCTTCTTCACGGCACAGGCGAGGGGATGGACGGATGTCTGTCTTATGACAAATGAATTGGCTCAGAACATCAAGAACTGTGAGACGCTACTGACAATAACGGCAAGCGACCATAGAATCATAAGTACTCAAATTGGTACTATGAAGCACAGGAGCCAGAGGCAAATTAATTATGTTAAACATATAAATTGGGAATTATTTAAAAGGCTTTTCAACGATAATTGGACAAACACGGGAAATAAGTTTACCATCAGCGAGGGGACTAGTGTCTATATATACTGTTAAAATTTCGTAGAGATATCTTTATTAGTTTTCGAGATATCTTAAGTTTAAATTTTAAGAGATTCTCCCACTTAATGAAGCAGGTCAACGACCTCGTTATATACAACGGACTCAACGAACAGTAACCGTCATCGGTTTTTCCCATTACGTCATAAGTTTAGCCGATCGGCGCGGCGTTTATTCGCCATTCGGCGTAGCGTTCGGCGTTTTACAGATAATACTATTCGGATAAGCTAATATTAATATTAGAGAGGAGAGCAAGATACAGACATGGAAGGAAAATTTATTGAAGAGTTTACTGATGAGGCTTTCGAAATAGTTGAGGAGGTTAAGCAACACATTAAAGAAAACCCTGGGGGTAAACTGTCCACAAGAGAGCACAAGAACTTCATGATCGAACAAATAGTAAGGGTGATCCAACTAGCAGAAAAAACGATGAAAGAAAATATTAAAAAAGAGGGAAATATAGATAAAGATTCAATTAAGATTATGAAGGAAGAATTCATAAACATATTGGGAAAACACACAGAGAAAACAATACAGGAAATTCAGGAGATAAAAAGAGAAATAGACGATATTAAAAATGCCGCTAAAACCAAATCTCAAGAAAAAGAAAAGGGAGTTAATTTAAAAATAGAATTAAAAGAGTTGGTTAAACAGAGTACGGACAAAACATTACAGGAAATAGAAAAAATAAAGGGAGAAATAAATACAATAAGTAATCAAAAACCACAAACAGAGGAAAACAAAAAATACAGCGATGTTTTGAGACTAGGTAGCGGACAACCGGATGTGAATCTTCAACCACCAACTCCACAGTACTCAGTACTAATATTTAGCAAAGAAAAAGAGAATACATCACAACAAAGTAAAGAGATATTAATTAGCAAAATAGATCCGGCTGATTTCGGAATTGGGGTTAAAAGGATTAGACCCATCAATGGTGGTGGAATAGCAGTAGACGTATGTGGAACGGATGATATAAATAATTTAAAAGAAGCAATGAGACAGGTAAAAGAACTGGAAATAAAGGAGAAGACAAGGAAACTACCTAGAATTAAATTGGTCTCTGTACCAATTCACATAGAAAGGTCAGAAATTAAGTCACGGCTATACGACCAAAACTTCTGCTTCTGGAACAACATGTCTAGAGAAATAGTTGAGCAGGGAATTGAAATTTTGTACAAAGTGCCCCAAAGAAACAAGGAGTGTATAACCTGTGTATTAGAAGTTTCTGAATTAATAAGGAAAGTTATGATAAAAGAAGAGAAGATTAACATTGGATGGACGAGGTGTCAGGTGTACGACGTTGTTCCAATAATCAGATGTTATAAGTGCTTGGACTATGGGCACTTTGCACGCAGCTGTAAAGAATCTTCAGTGGTGTATGGTCACTGTGGAGGGAGTCACCTCATAAAGGATTGTGACAGGAAATCAAAGGCTGATTGTGTTAATTGTAAAAGATACAAGTTAGGTAACAGGGAGCACAACTCACTGGATAAAAATTGTCCAATCTATGTTAAAGCACTTCAGAATTACATCAGGGGGGGTAAATAGCTGCTGCAGGTCATGTAAGCTATCACAAGGGTTGGTAGCAGTACCACCACAAGTTGTGGTGGTATTTTTTCTGTATAAAACAAATCTCTGTATTAATAGAAATTGTCGGAAATCTATAATTCTTTTTGTACGCCAAGTGGGGCAAAAATTTCTGTTATAAGTTTTAGTCTGTATCTGTATGTGTTTTGTAAATATGTAAATTTTATTTTGTTCAATAAATAGAACCCGGTGCAGACGCCCGTGGGGTCCCATGGGGGGCCCCTGATTGCACTCTCCTTCCCACTTTCCTATCACACTAGTTTCTTCTTCCCGCTACTTCTTCATACTTTCCTACTCCCTTCTTTCCTACTTCTACAAGGGCCTAAGTCTGCTGCTGAATGCGGATAGCCCTTCTACTTCTTTTTACTGGATGTCTATAGAAACACCTCCAGAGAGGCTACTTCCCCAACACCTGGAAGTTGGCCAGCGTGAAATTTATCCCAAAAACTGACAACCCATCCGAATGCAAAGACTATAGGCCCATCAGCCTCTTGCCGGTTGTGGGAAAAGTGCTAGATGGGCTGTTAGTAGGCAGAATAAATTGGCATCTTAAACAAAAAAACCTAATAAACGACAAACAGTACGGATTCAGGCCGGGGAGGTCAACAATCACAGCCCTTGAAAATGCTACAGCATTCATCAAGGAAGCGTGGGAGAAGGACAAGCATGCCCTCCTGATCAGTGTAGATTACAAAAAAGCGTTTGACCACCTGTTGTGGCCTTCTATCTTGTTCAACCTTAGGAATGCCCACTGCCCCAAAAACATATTCTACTTAACTAAAGACTAACTGACCGACAGAGTGGCGGGCTTTAACAGCAATAATATCAGCATCAGGAAACGGGTCACCAGGGGATACCCCCAGGGCTCCCGCAGCGGCCCTGGGCTGTGGAACCTAGTGTACAACGACATGCTCAATTCTATTCAGACGGATGGGGACACCCACATCCAGGGCTTCGCGGATGACACATTAGTGATGATCAGACATCAAAACTGTGACATGCTGCAGAAAAATGGTAATGAAATTCTCAAGAAAATAAACCAGTGGAGCAAAGAGACCCATAAACTACCTAAAGTGCGAGGCCCTGGTTTGCACGAAAAAATCTAAAAGAAAACAACTACAACGGCCGCCATGTCTCTACATAGACAAACATAAGATCAGAATAACGTCCCATCTAAAATACTTGGGTGTACTCCTAGACCCCACCTTGAGCTTTAAAACTCATATTGAAGAGCTCTGCAAAAGAGTAAAACAAAAAGCCAATATGATCTACCACATAGCTAGAAACACCTGGGGAATCAGCCAAAAGCATTTTAAATTAATTTACAAAGGGGCAATCGAGCCAGCGCTGCTGTACGCAGCACAAATCTGGGGAGAAAGCGCAAATCTAGTCCACCTAAAAAGAAAGTTGTTATCAGTGCAAAGAACATTTGCCATCAGGTCCTGCCGAGCATACCGGACGGCGCCGACTGATGCCCTCCTGGCTATTGCAAACATTACCCCCATCCACATCAAAATAAACAGTGTGATACGGACTTACAATCTCATGAAAGTAAACAAAGACCATCAAACAAAGGGGAGCGAATTTGCCCCCACCGACAGCGATTCACAAGCAGAAGAAGATCACAAAATAACCCAGCTAATAAAAAGGCACGGCATCGACAATTACATAAACAACACTGTGGACCAGCACCACCCTGCGGAAAGAAACAATATCCATATAAGCAGGGAAGACGGAAGCCTTGGACCCAATTATAACTGGATAATCTACACTGACGGGGCTTGCAACGAGAAAGGCACTGGTGCAGCCGTGGTAATTTACAATGGTGACAACACTGTGGCTCACGAAAAATATTACAAACTGGCTAGCTTCTGCAACAGCAACCAAGCCGAACTATGGGCCATGGAGAGGGCCCTATTCCTCTTAGTCAAAAACATCAAAAATCTCAAGGGCTCCATCAACATCTGCACTGACAGCCGCAACGCCATACGTTGCATTAATGGTAAGAAAAAGAATACCTCCCTGGGTGTAAACATCCAACACCTGGCCCGACACATCAGCAAGAAGAGGAAGCTCATCTTCAGCTGGATCCCAGGGCACTCCGGCTCCCAGGGAAACAGCAGGGCCGACAAACTGGCAGCAAACAATAACCAGCTCTCAATCTCGTTCGACAAAATTCCCATAAACCACATACATAAGTATATAAAAGACAATACTATTAAGGAATGGCAACGTGAATGGACACAATCGTCAACGGGAAGAACCACTTATCAGTTTATACCATCTATCACGAATAGACAAACCATGTCCTACCTTACCCCCACCTACAGTATGACCCAGCTATTAACCGGCCACGGGAACCTGCCGAGCTACCTGCACAAGATCAAGAAGAAAAGCAGCGACAACTGCAGCTGTGACGACATGACAAAATGTGATATTGAACACATCCTTCTTTACTGCCCCTTGCACAACGCTGCAAGGGAAGAACTAATAAACTTATGCACCCAAGACAGTAAGACATGGCCCTTGCCATGGGATTACTTTCTGAGCACAAAGAAGACCTACAAACAGCTCGAAAACTTTGTCTCCCAATGCGGACTCTTCAGCTAATAGGGGAACCCCCAACCCTAATGAGCCATCAACGAACCAGCAATCACCAATGAGGAAGCAAGTCACCGCCCTAGAAGCCCTCCAATAGAAGAATTATACAAAGGACAAAATGTATATGGAAAATTTTACACGACATTGTGTAAGCACTAATTTGTCATAATATTGATGCAGCATAATGTATATATAGCTGTAGTGCAATGTAATCATCGAATGGATACAATGTAAATACTATATGTTATCGGTGCAAAGGTATAATGTTTTTAGCACAAACAACACTGTAACCGGGAGATCTTTTGTTCCAGGTAGTCACCTGGTACCTCTAACCAAATTGGTCCTTGTATATAATTGTTTCTTGTCTTATAAATAAATGCGATGCAAGATGCTAATGAGATCCCTACCCCCATCTCTCTCATCTTCACCTCTATCGTTCTTTCTCATCTCCACCTCCTTCCACATCTATCACCTCACACCCTCTTCCCCCCTCCCTCACTTTCCTTACCCCTTCTTCTGATGGCTAAGTCTGATGACAGCCTCCCCTCTTTGTGACTCATGTCTATAGAAACAAGAGAGCGACGAGTCGCGATATTGGGCAGTGGTGGAAAATTCAGCTCCAGTTTGAAAAGTGATTTTACAAAAACTACTCGGATTACATAAGAACCCAATATACCGATGGATTCGTCTTGATGAGAGGAACCGTTTGATGCCAATTTTTTGTGTCAAAGGTCAATATTTTTGGAACTGGAAACATTTAAAGTTCGGCAACTTTGGAGTCCGCTTAACCGGAAAATGACTACCGGTTTTCCGGAATTGCAGTCGGAATAAGATACTGGACCACCAAGTGAGTATTGTGCAAAAATTTGGGCACTCTGACCCTATTATTTAACGAGCTATTAAGGTTTTTCGCTGTGACTAAATCGGCCCGCATCGGGCCTCCATCTGCGTACTTTTAAAAACTATTGGTATAATTAGTGGCAGGGTAGTTACTGCTATATACTGTGAAATTTTGAACGTTCTACTAACTATTTTAAGAGAGTTATAGCGATTCAAAAATTCAACATAACTTCCTCAACTAACGAAGAGGTCATTACCCTGGCAACGATCGTTCACGGATCAACGGACAACGAAGCTATAACGGTTTTTCAAGTTTAAACCGAAGTCTAGACATTACGTCATCGCTAAAATCGACGTCGCGTCATATCTAGTGCAGGTGTTCCTTGGAAAACGACATTCTACAAGCAGGACTATAAACTATTTAATTATTTTGACTGGTTAGGATTTATTTAATTCCCTACAGGGAATTTATTGTGTTATAACGTGCCTAGCAATTATATAAATAGTTTTAAGTAATTTAAGATTAAATTATAGCTATCTTTTCATTCTGTAGAGCTGAGTTTGACTTGGTTGTACAGAATCGCTTTGGCACTGGGCCTCTTAACAAAGACACACTTCTTATAGTTTTAATAAATAGTTTTATTTAATAGTCTCCCACACACGGTTTTTGTTAGCACTGTAATCTGTATTAGCAGACTTTGGTCTTTGGGTGATGTCTCATCGGCGAAATACCTTGGTCATGGATGATTCTAGGGTAGTCATGGAAGATCCAAGGGTGGTTCTGGAACCACTGGACAAGACTGTGCAATTGTCAAATACAAACTCTCCATCGGGGAGTACGATAATCGACAACTCCTTCAGCACACTAGAAGGAAATCTATTACAAGAAGCGGGACAACACTTAAGACGCATTATGGACCTCCTTCCCAAATCTTATAAAACCAACCTCTCAACGGAGGGAAGAAAGGAAGTTAAGGACAGGGTGACCAAAATGTTTGGAACAATACATCAAATGTATGGAATATTACAACAACTACGCTCTGCTCCAACAACAGGTACAGAGAATATAGAGAATGCTACACCACAGAGCCAGCAAGCCATAAACCCTTTACCTTCATATTCTGAAATCCTACAAAGAAACCAGGAACAAAGTACAGCCTCTAAAGCGATTGCAAAAACAATTAATAAGAAAATTAACAAAGAAGGCACTGGCAGTAGTCACGCATTACTGGTTTACCCCAAAGAAGAAGAAGGGGAAAATGCCAAAACACTCATGGATAAAGTATTCACAGACATCACTGAAAATATCAAACCTAACAAGTTACAGATCAAGGTTACGGGAATTAAAAAAGTTAAAGGGGAAGGAATATGCTTCCGTACCGGCACTAGACAAGAGGCTGCTGCACTCGAGAGAGCAATAGCAGAATTACCACTAATAAATTCAAAAATTAAAACAAAATTATCAGAGGGGAGGCGACCGCGGATTATTCTCCTAAACATTCCAAATTGTGTGGACGATGATGACATAGTCGAAATGACTTATGATCAAAACATCGCACACAGTACCATAACAAAGAATTAATACATGGCCAATACAAAGATAAGTACTATCATACATAAAGGAAAAATAAACGAAAATTGTAAACATGTAGTACTGAGTACAACAGCAGAAATCAGGAAAGAAATAATAGGTCTGAAATACCTGGCCATCTCGTGGGCAAATATCAGAGCTGATGATTTTGTTTACATCACAAGATGCTACAACTGTTGTGGGTACGGGCATATAGCTAAGGACTGCTCTCGGCAACAGATTTGTAGTCACTGTACAAAGAAACATCGATTTAAGGAGTGTCCACATTGAAAACAACCACCATGTTGCACAAATTGTAAAGAAAATAATAAGAATCTGTCAACAAGTAAGAAACAACCAACGAACCACAATGCTTTTCATCAACACTGCCCACAAACATTAAAAATAAAGGAAATACAAATTAATCAAACAAATTATGGATACTAGCCCTATTAAAAATCACTTAACACTGATCCAAATAAATTTACAAAGGGCAAAAGCAGCGACTACAGACTCACTCCAGATAGCAATTAATTATCAATCTGATGTTATGTTAATTCAGGAACCATACTGCTATAAAGGAAAAATAGCACTATTTGGCACATATAAAGTTTTGGCTGCTTACAGAGACAAAGAAGATCCGTTAACAGCAATTGTTATTCTAAATAAGAACATAGACGCTCAGTTACTGGTACAACACAGCTGTAGCTTTTTTACCACTATCCTCTTAAACATAAATGGAATGGCTTTTATCGTAATCTCTTTTTACTGTGCTCCATCAGCTGACATCTCTGAATCTTTAGACTTACTGCATAACACTGCACAAAAACTTAATAACTACCCGGTACTCATAGCAGGGGACTTCAATGCGAAATCCCCGTTGTGGTTTAGCCCGTATGAGGACCCCAGAGGATATAAGGTCATTGAATTCATGAATGAATTTAACTTTCGCTCCATTAATACTAGTAATCTACCGACTTATTCATCTACATCAGGCGAAAGCTGGGTAGATATTTGCCTAGCTAACAGGGCTCTCTCGAAATTTCAATTAGGCTGTAGTACTATGGAGATTCACTCAGCAAGCGACCATAGCATTATCATGACAACTATTCAAACTACAAGAATCAAGAAGAATGTCCGTATCATACAAAAAACTGACTGGAACAAATACAAGGAATACATACAAAATATCTGGAATAGTACCCCCATCATAGAGATCTCTGACCAGGATAGACTACAAAAGACTATCAAGGAGTTACAACAAGTTATCCAAGACGCTTTCACTGAAGCTACAAAAATTAAAGTAGCTAAAATATCAGCGCCATGGTGGAATCAGGAGCTAGCCAAGCAAAGAAACGCATTAAGAAAATTAAGGAACAAATATAGAAGGGAAAGGGACCTAAGAAAGAAAGAAACTTTAAAACAGGAATACAGAAACCACTTCAGAAACTACAAAACAGAAATAAATAGGACTCGTACACAATCGTGGAGAGAGTTTTGCACGAACTTGGGAAACCACAAACCATGGTCTACCCCCTTTTACATTGTTAGAGGCAAAATTAGGAACTCTTGCATACCAAACAACAACCTTGGTGTTTTTGGAGATCCAAACAACCCCATCAAAGAAACTTACAAATTGATTGTTGATGAACTTTTTCCGGAAGATGACATTAGCAGTGACAATCCTTTTCAGGCAAAACTCAGAAACAATATAAGGAACAGTCAAATTACTGAAGACGAACCTAATTTTACAACTCATGAAATTTATAATGAAATACACAACCTCAAGATTAAGAAGGCTCCAGGCCCAGATGGCATCGGCCCAAAAATGGTAAAACTAGCATATGAGGCAATCCCCACTACATTTCATACACTCTTCAACAAGTGTCTAAGCCTAGGAGCCTTTCCAATTGAATGGAAGAAGGCACTTATTTCTTTACTTCCAAAAACAAGTCATCCAGCCAAAGCAACAGACTACCGGCCAATTTCTCTTCTTCCGGTGGTGGGGAAAGTGCTGGACGGACTTATGGTTAAGAGACTACAGCATTTTTGTGAGAAGGGTAATAAAATGGATGATAACCAATATGGGTTCAGGAAGGGGAGGAACACCATAAACGCACTGGAATCAATATTAAAATACATACAGGAAGCAAAGTCGAGAGGGGATCACACGTTACTAATATCAATAGATTTTCGCGGCGCATTTGACCACGCCTGGTGGCCAGCGATAATGGAGGCAATGAACAACTTTGGCTGTCCAAACAATCTATTCAACCTCTACAAAAGTTATCTCAGCGACAGGAAGATAATAATAAAAACGAAAAATAGTGAGTACTATGCTAAAAACATATCGAGAGGCTGTCCGCAGGGCTCTTGCTCTGGGCCATACTTGTGGAATCTTATGTATGACAGCCTTTTAAAACTGAATACATTCTTTCCTCCAGAATATAAAATTAAAATTCAAGGATACGCAGATGATACAGTGGTAGTCATCTCGCATCGAAATCAAGAAATATTACAAACAAGGGCTAATGAAATTTTGATAAAAATAATGGATTGGAGTGTAGCAAGGATGCTGGAAATTAATTATGACAAATGTAATTGCATAATTTTTCCCAGGAAAACTCCGTTACACAAAGGCCCCTCTATCAAGATAAATGGGCACAAAATTAAGAACAACAAACATATAAAATACCTTGGGGTCATACTGGATGAGAGCT